GTTGGCCAACACCGGGATCTTTTCCATGACGTCGTACTTGCCCCGCATGCGTGACTGCGAGCGCGAACTTGCGCGACAAGCGCTGCTGAAGCGTCTCCAGCTCGTCCACATCGTTGTTGACCTTCTTGGTCGTCACGTTCGGGTCGGCGGCTCGCTTCAGCTCTTCGCGAGCTTGCGCCGCCAAGTGGCCTTCTACTTGGTCTTGGTGTGCAGCACGTCGTCCGCGCGCCAGCAATCTTGTGCTGGCTGCCGTGTGCAAGCAGCAGGACGTTAAGCGTGACGTGCTCGAGATGAGCACCATTTATCTCTGCGCCGCGAGATGACGAGCGCGGTCTGAACGCGACGCGGCGCGCGCGCAGCGCCCATTTCTGCGCTGGCGACGGCGTGGCTCGTCATCGCGGCGCTTGGAATTTGCCCTTGCTTTTCATGCTTGCTAGTGTTGTCCTGTTATTTATCCTCGAAACGACGCGACACGGTCGAGGCCATCGTCTGCACTCCTGGCACAAACGCCCAAGGTTGTCCCTGTCGGCGTTTGTTTCGGCGCATCAACTCGTGCACTTCTTTAGATGCTGCGCGAAAAGGCCCTCGACATATACCTCACGTAATCGCACAACGTCAAAGCGATGGAGTTTCTCCGAGTGCCACGTCATATTTTGCAACCTCCGATACACGAAGTCGCATAAACGCGTAGTGACCATACCGGAATATCTCCACGGGTGCGGAAGCCCGAGCATTGCGAGCTGCAAGCCTCTCGTTCCAATCACTCCACAGAATGTGATGGCTCTGGACGTAGTTGCTCCATGACGACCTTGGCCGCGTCTTCGTGAGGTGCGCTGCCACAATTTTAGAGCCGGCTGTCACCTGGTGCATGTTGCAACCGGATTATTTGTCCGGATACGTCACCCGATGGTTTGTCGCATGATTGTTCAGCTCTGAGTTTGCAGTTGGCCCGGCCCTCTTGAAGTGATCGCTCCGGTCGCTCGTCATGCTGCACCTCACGTCTACAGGGCGCGTCCATAGTCCAAGCCGTCTCTTCAACCCCATAGTGAAGCCTCTGGCTCACGGCCACGAGCACGGAGCCGTCGACCACACTGCGATCGCCACGCTCCAGAGCTCGCCGACGAGAACGACTATACAGGCGTCGTGCATTGGTAGCCTCGTACGACTGACCGCTCGCCCAAGCTCTCGCACATCAATGCGCTGATCATCGCCCGGCCGGCCTTGCGCTGGATCCTCTCCGAGCCCGGGGGCACAGCCTACGGCGCGTCATGGCCATCGTCCGTGCCCTCGCCTTGCAGGTGGCTCGAGGCATCCGCCGAAGCGTACGTCTCTGCCTATAATAGGTGATGCACAGGCACTCTGACATCGTCACTGTAGACTTAGCGCAGGACCTATAAGCGCCGCACGACGTGCAACAAGTCGGCCCGACGGCACACCTCTGGCCAATTCTGCCAACGGCCTCGCTGTCACGTTGCATAGGTGCTCCTGCAAGCTCGATAGACCAGCAACGAGTCATGCCATGGTCGCCGCGACGTCCACCTCCAGAGCGGTGGCCGGGCAAGGCCATCCGTACATGTAGTCCTCCTGCAGTCGTATGCGCCATCACTGCAATTTTTGGTCGACTCTTGTATCGGCAGCGAAAGAGCCATGGAGTTTGATGGTCTTTATAAAAGCGTTTTGCCGAGGTATTACATCTATCGATGCATCTGAATGCAGTGTCCAAGGATTTTGAGAGGGTAGAGCTAACGATTTCGGCCACGATCGCGCAAAAGCCAACATCGCTGGGAACGCAGCCACGAGCTCCCGTCCAGACGTCGTTCACTGCATCTATGGTCAAGTTCCGCGCCGCCACAAGAGCGTCAAAGAAGACTCTGGTATTGAGAGGCATCACCTTGTGTCGAAGTACAGGCCAATCATGGCGTTCCGCGACGTCTGCAACTGGACGACGTTGCATCGCATCCGATGTTTTGCGTGCTATCCTCAAAGAGTTCTCCCACCGAAACGCGAATGATTAAACCACATACAGATATGTCATTCATAAAACATGCAATCGAGACCGTAAGCGTCAGTAAAGGTCGGGAATACCGAGCCACGCGGGGCGCGACGAAAGCTTCACCAACGACTCCATCGTCACGTTCTCGTCGAACGCGACACGATGGCCATCGTGGATGACGGCGACGTGCCCGAGGGGGTTCTCGAGCGGCCGCGCGAATCCCCACTCGGAGACGGCAACGACGTGAACGCCGCCGTACGCGAGACACACAAACCCCTCGGACGCCAAATTGAGCGACTCGCAGAGCATGAGCGGCGGCACCTTGGCGCGCGTCATCTGCAGCGCAATCTCGGGCGCCATGCGGTGCGTCGACTCCATGAGGACTTTGTGCAGATTCGAGGTGACTGCTTTCGGGTCCACGGGCTCTTTGGCCAGGCGCAGCGACATGAGCGAGACAAGGATGCTGTTGCTGCTGTGCGTCACCGCGTGCCAGACGACGTCGACAAGAAAGGTCGCCGCCGACGAGAGAATCGTAAAGTAGCCAAAGAGCTTGAAGTAGAGCGTGAGGCAGTTGATCTGCGTCCCGTAGACGTTCAAGATCGAGTTGGCGTAGTGGCTCACGATGGCGCCCGTCCAGCGGTAGCCTTGGAAGAGACTCATGCCCTGGTTTGTCACGTAGATTGGAATGTAGATCCACACCACTGGGGCGCCGAGGAGGAAGAGGTCTTCGGACATGGCAAACGCGCGCTTGGGCCCGAGGAACACCTCGACGAGCCGCGATGCAAGCAGGAGTAAAAATGCACAGGGCCAAATGATGCGCGTGATCGACATGTACTTGAGCGCGAGCTGCGTGAGGGACGAACCGGCGTAGATGACTTGCTGGCAGTACATCACCACGTCCTCCGTGCTCGCAAACGCCTCGAGCGTCAGCAAGAGCAAGATAAAGAGGTTGTGTCGCTCGCGCTTGTGCAAGACCAAGCCAAAGTTGCGGCGCCGCAGCCACCGGAAGAGCGGCTGGCGCTGTCGAAGATACACGAGCAGAATGGGATAGTAGACGGACGAGGCGCGGTAGTACGTAATGACACCGATGATCCCGAGCCGGTACGAGTCCTTGTACGACGGACGAATCTGCGTCAAGTCGCCTTCCGAGTAGTGGGTTGTCGTGACAAAGACCGACGAAGCGCCGCGAGTCACGACGTTGGCGTACGCCGTCCGCGTCGTCCGCGCCGACCACGGCGCCGACGTGTCGCCGTACCACGCTGACGTCGAGATATGGGTGGCGGTGCCGCCAATGTGGATTTCGGCAGCGCACCCCAGAAGCGGCTCGAGGCTAAAGACGGGCTGCGTGTACGTCATCGGGATGCTCGTGAACGCGGACGATTTGTCAGAAACGTTGGCGACAAGCACCTCTTGGACACCAGACGTCAGATTCAAAATGTAAAAGCCGCCAAACTCCTTGCACCACTTTTTCGTTTCCGTTTGGCTCACGCGGTAGTTGATGACGCGGCCGTTGGTCGTGACGTACTCGTCGCACGGGAAGCTGTCGCCTTCGCCGAGCGGAGTAAGGCAGTTGCGGTCGGCAGAGCTCGTCTGGACCGACCACTGCGTCGTCACGGTCGTGCGGCCATCGGGCAGGTCGACGCGGTGGCCGTTGGGAAACGTGCAGTTGCCAAAGAAATTGCTTATGTGCTGGGTCGGACCCTTGTCGGTGGGGTAGTAGGACCGGCAGGTCGCACCAGCGAGGGACCCGGTGCCGTAGACGGGTAGCTCAAAGTAGCAGTCCAGGAACGGACCGCTCATTGGGCAGACGCGGGATGAGACGTTGTTGAAATTGTTGGCGACCGTGAGCTGCCACACGACGTTTTGGTTGTTGCTGTCGAGGTAGATGAAGTAGCCGTAAATCGTCTTGAGCGGGTCCACGAGCGAGTTGATGGTGACGAGCACCCAGAGTGCAAAGACGGCGATCGCGATCGGGTTGAGACGGTCGTCGGTGGTTGCGCCCTTGACCAACGTCGCACTTTTGAGCGTCGCACCATTGACGTCCTTGGCCTCGGATTTTCTGGTCTCTGGGAGCACGTCGTCGAGCTGGACCGAATGGCGCTGCCCGCTGGCTTCGGCTGGCAACGTCAATACCTCGTTCGCACTTGGCGCGTCGCCCGATGTCGTCACCATTGCGGGTGTGGACGATGCGTCGGATTTGTTTCTGACGCGCCTCGTGGCTGTTTCACCGCTCGCGCGCCCTTTGGCGTAACGCCAACGCGAGTAATCGCCATGCACAGTGACGAGAGCGACAGTATCTGACGCTTGATAAACGAGATACTGCTGCATCTCCTTTCTTGTGCGTCGGACACGCCCTAAAGAGAAGCAGGGTTGCTCAAGCGGCTCTGTGCAGCACACAGAAAGAAGACTTTGCCACCATTGACAGCAGGGGCGGGACAACCAAGTGGTAGCCAAAACCGCCGTGAAGGCAAAGCACATGCTCCATCTTGCGCCGTCTTTTTAAAGGTCCAACCGACGAAACCCACAACCGACGCCCCTCGTGACTAGATGCACTGCGTTGCTTCCGCAATAGTCCAACAACACATGCTGCCTCTGCGCGGTGTACCCCATCGGAAGAGCCGCCGTGCCGGAACTCGTTCGGGATTGATAGCCTTGAAGGAAAACCTCCCACAATAAATCACCAAAAACACAAACACGCCCGCCTCTCAACGCCACCGTGACCAGAAAAACCTGTAGGAAATAATATCTTAATAGACTCATTCCAACAACAATAGTCCAACAATGACATAAATATCGACTTGATACTTTCGAACGCCAAGGTATGTTATCGTCGTTGGTACGAGCATTGAGGAACGCATCCAACTAAATTCATCGATGCTTGCATTAGTGAATCGACGTCTCCAATTGCTGGCGCATCGACTCGACGACAGTGACAAGGTGGTCGACGGTGGCTTGCAGCGTCGCGATTTTGTCGTCCGGCGTCGCTTCGGCGTCGTCGTTGCCGCGGGTGTAGTCTTGCATGGCGAGCTCCTGCTTGGAGACGGACTCGTCAAAGATCGGGTTGCGCACGCGGCCGCTCGGGAGGGCAAAGTGCAGGAGCTGCTCGCGCTCGGCCTGCGTTTGGCCCAACGCGATCTCGAGCCGGAGCACGCAGCGCGCGTACGACGCGAGGGCCCGCGCCTGCAGCTTGTCCCAGTTGCCGTCCACCGTCTTGTTCATCATCGCCAGCAGCAAGTTGAGAAGCAGCACGACCATGACCGCGCAGTGAAACATGCGCAAAACCAGGCCAAAATGCAGCAGCACGTCGGGTAAAACGTGGTTCCCGTCGCCGTCCTTGAGGGTAAAGTCGTCGCCGCCGTTGTCTCCATAGAGCACAAAGTACGTCGCGCGGAAGCTGGCCCAGAGCGTCTTGTAGCTGTCGGACTTTTGCTGAAAGATAAAGTAATACGCGCACGTGAGGCCGCACTGGAAGACGCCGTAGAAGATGAGAAAGTCCCACACGTCGCCCATGACGTCCTTGACGATCGGGAGGAGGTACCCGGCCGTGCGGTTGACCTCGAGGAACTGCAGCGAGAGCATCCAGAGACTGAGCGTGAGGAAGGCGCCGAGACAGAGGTAGACCTCCTTGAGACTGCCCGAGAGCGGGGCGCAGAGGCGCCAAAAGTGCAGTGGCGTGAACACAAAGATGACGCAGAGGTGGGTGAGGAGCTGGAGCTTGTTGACGTGCGACGCGTAGTAGCGGCGGTACGTCGGGAGGAACGGCGTCATGAACGGCAGCACGAGGATGAGAAGAAGGATCCAAACGGCCTTGCGAAGTCCGCCGCTGGCCTCGATGCGCTCAAAGATCCACGGATCTTCGCCGAGCACTTCACGGTACTCGAGCAAGAGAAAGTACACTGCGCAGCCAAAGAGCACGGCCAATGTAAAGTACAAGTTGAAGAGCACGGTGGCCTCGACGACGGCTTCGCCCGCGCTCGGGATCGCCAGCGTCAAGACAAGCACGAGCGGTGTCGCCACGAGGAGCGTCCATACGAGAACCCGGTGGAGCAGCCACGTCTTGGCCTTGGCCTTGTAAAAAACCACGTTGGGGATCACGAACGACGCCTCGAGGATGTCCATGCCGTCGTACATGCGCCGCGTGAGCCGCGCAAACGTCATGGGCTCCAAGTAGTGCAAGTGGAGGCTGGCGACGGCGCTGAAGACGAGGAAGACGACCCAGATGACAAAGCTCGCTTCGATGCGCAGCGCGCGCTTCTCGGCGGCGCGATACGCGGGGTCGTTGACGTCGAGGGTCTTGAGGGCGTCGATGCGCTTGAACGCGAAGGCGCTCATGACGACCATGGTCATGGCCATGAGCATCGCGACGAAGAGGAGGACGTGCTGGTAGTACTTGCGCGCGCCAAAGAGCTCCCACTTGATGTCCAGCACACGCTGCAAGACGACGTGGCTCAAGACGCTGAGCTTCTCGTCGTCCTCGTACGCGAGGATGTGGCCGTTGAGCACCGAGTACAAGGCCGAGCTCTTGATGTGGTACTTGCCGTAGATCGCGTCGAGGTCCTTGAACGTGAGGTTGTACCGGCCATCGCTGTTGACAAACTGGTTTAGGTACCGCAGCGCGGCGGCCGGGTCGCTCCCGAGGGCCTGGCGGAAGAGCCGCTCGCTGAACGCTGCGCCGTCGGCCACGTTGAGCTCGGCGCGCAGGTGCTCGTGATACGGATGGTGGGGCGTCGTCGCGCGGTAGTGGGCCTCGCTGCGCAAGAGTGCGGCGCACGGGTGGTTGCCGCGGCGCAGCGCGTGCTCGAGCGGCGACATGCCGCCAAAGTCTTCGAGGGCAATGTCGGCCGTCGGGTCGAGCAGGAGCTTCTCGAGAAGGAGGAGGTCGCCGTCCTCGCACGCGCGGTGGAGCGCTGTGCGGCCGTTGGCGTCGACGCCCAGCACGCTCATGCCCCGCGACTCTCGCATCGTCCAATGACCAGCGGCAGCTTGGCCACTGCGCTGGATTGTGGCCGATCCTGTGCCAAATATTTTTAAAAAATCGAAATCGCCAGTATCAATTGATATCAACTCGCCCGACGCCGGACCGACAAGAGGCAGCTTCCGCAGCCTTTGCGCAGAGCAAAGCGACAAAGAGCAAGCGCAAGGTGCCCGCGCGTCGAGCTGCGGCCAAGGATCGTACCGTACCGGCGCTTGGACGTGGCGCGGCCTGGTTGAAGTTGGGGATGTGCTTTGCGTTCCTGAGGATACCAACTGCGACGGAGCTTCGTCTCGGTTGGGTCAACGAGCCTCTGGTACACTACTCCAAGATATCAAGTTGCTGCATTCATCGACGTGTGATCGTCGTGCTTGCAAACCTTGACGTTGTCTGCTGTGCCTTTGCTGAGCAAGCAGGGAGTATGCGCATAGAAGACACGCTCTCAGCTGACGGGTGCGATCAGTACTGTACGAGGGGCGAGGGTGTCGAGTTGGCGGATGGCGAGACGTTGGCCTTGAAGCCACATAGAGCACTCTACACTTGGTCTAGTTCTTCTCTAGTTCGTCGTCTAGTCGACTAGTCGCTCATCAACCATCAACCACCGTCGTCGTTGCGAGTTTGCCGCAGATTGCCCCGTCGCCGATCACTCGTTCAGAACCCGCCGTACATTCGGGTACGTACATGACACGTACATTGCACGTACGACCACGTCGAAGGAGACCTCGGCCGCGGCCGAGCCACCATGCTTGGGCGTACGTGGCCGCTGCCGTGGCCCTGGTCGCTGGCAGCTGGCGCCGACGACGTCCCATGGCAGGCTGCTGGATCGCGCACGTGTGGCCGCGCGACGAGGACCAGAATCCCACTTTGCACCAGCTGGCAGGTCGATGGGTGCCATATTGGCCGCAGTTGAGAATTCACCGATGGCGATCGCCGTCAGCTACCGGTCGCTCGAGGGCGCGCGCGTGAACGCCATCAACGCGGTCGACGGCAAGGGCCGGACAGCGCTTGCCCGCGCCTGCCACGACGGCAACTTTGCAGAGGTGCTGCAGCTTCTCGCGCACCCGCACATTGACATTTCGCTCGAAGACGACTCGGGCATGTCGCCGATCGAGTGGGCCATCAAGCACAACCACCACGCGTGCGCAAGCCTCGTGCGCAATGAAGCGTACTTCCGCGCGTCCCACCGCGACAACGCCTTCCAGACGCACCTGCACGCCGAGCTGCAGTGCGCGGACGCGGTCTTTGACGAGCGGCTCTTCCGCCAGGCGGTCGAGACAGACCCGTCGGCCGCCATGAAGTACCTCGACCAGTTTGCGTCTTCGGACCGGTACTACTACCACTTCTCGCAGCTCGACGCGATTTACGGCCGGAAGAACGTCAAGTCGTCGGCGCTGTATGCGATTTTGAACAGCAACATCTTGCCGGCGCAGGACGAGGCCAAGTACGTGTGCCTCCAGCACGTGGTCATGCAGCGCATCCTCGACATCAAGTGGGAGCTCTTCGCCGAGCGCATGTACTACTTCCAGCTGCTCATTTTCGGACTCATGATGACGGCCATGACCATGGTCATCGCGTCCTCGTACGCGATCGCCGTCTACATTGAGAAGGAGCAGCTCGACGAGGTCGTCGACGAGGACTCGACGACCGGCGTCACGATCCGGCTCATGTTCCACCTCTGGAGCCTTGTGTGCATCTACTGCCTCGTCGCCAAGGCGCAGCTCCGCGGCCTCACGCCCGAGTACCTCTACCGCCTCGCGCGCTGGCAGCACGACGGCGTCTGGGCACCCTTCGACCGCAACATCACCATTCCGTCGCTGTCGCTGCACAAGTCGTACGCCAAGTGGTACCTCTTCAAGCTCTCGATCGTCGTGACCGTCCTCTTCGCGACGCCGTGGTGCGCCTACATTGGATTTGGCTTTACCGGCGCGCTCGGCATCGAGAAGCTCGGCTTTATGGTGCTGGCGACGGTCATGTCGACCGCCGGCGTGCTCCTCGTGACGGCGCTCTACTTTCTCTTGCTCGAGTACCGCGAGATCCTCGGCGAGGACCCGTGGATCCACGAACGCCGGGCGAACGCGGGTCTCTGCGGCTGGCTGTTCTGGACGTTTGTGCTCGTCTTCTTGCTGCCGCTCGCGACGCCGTTCATGCGCCGGTACAAAAAATACTTTGGCTCGTGGTTCAACATTCTCCAGCTCCTCACGTACATGTGCATCGTGCCCTTTGCGCTCCTCTCGATCCTCTGCCTCGTGCCTGAGTTCCAGGGCCTCATCAAGGACGTCTACCTCTGCCTCGGCGCCTTCATCACGCTCAGTCTCTGGATGCTCTCGCTCCAGTACCTCGAGGTCAACAAGACCGCCGGGTACCTCCTCCCGATGCTCATGGACGCGCTCGGCGACGTGTGGGACTTTGTGGTCTTCTACGGCGTCTTCCAGTGCGGCCTCACATGCGCCTTCTACTTTATCTTTCAGCAAAAGTCGGACAACTACAAGACGCTCTGGGCGAGCTTCCGGACCACGTACTTTGTCTTGTACGGCGACAACAACGTCGACGACTTTGCCGAGACGGACCTCGAAGGCGACCGCGTCCTGCCGGCGCTCATCACCCAATTCGGCTACGCCCTCCGGAT